CTGTTTACTGAGTCTAGTCCCGCTGAACTTAGTGGGACCTAGCTTTGGACAGATGTGCAAATCATTGCCTTGCAATTACAGATAATCCTGAACTTATGCCCACAAGTTGAGTCAGAACTTCTATTGCTAAGCAAGGCGGTTATGAAGCAAGTCAGGCCTGATTTCACAACTTTTTTTTAAAACGAATCACTGCATTTGTTAAGTGACTTGTGCAGTTGTTAAGCAAATCTGGCTTCTACCCCTTAACTTTGCTTGTCAGAAGCTGGTTGGGAAGGTTGGAGACAGTGGATCACATGATCCCAGGATGCTGCAACCTCGTAAATACGTGCCAGTTGCCAGATGCCTGAATATTGATCACATGACCATGGGGATGCTGCGATGGTCATAAGTGTAAGGACCAGTTGTAAATCAGTGCTATTGTAACTTCAAACAGTCACTAAATAAATAACTGTTAAGGGCACTACCTGTAAATATAAATAGTAACTTATCCTGCCTTTCTGTAGTTCTAGAGTAGATCTAGACAGTTCATATGTAGCTTGATGAACTGTTTAATTTATTTAATTTTAGTTTTTTCCCCCCTCATTCTCCATCCACCTTCCCCAAAACTATTCTGAAGGACTGATAACTCTCTAGAACAGAGTGAGATAGGATGCAGAAGCTGGGGAGCTTGAAAAAAGGAGTTGTCTGATTTAAGTAAGATTTTCTTCCAGTAGAACTTCATGATAACAGTTCAGAAGTGACAACAATGCCTATTTTTCTTCTCTTACTTAGTTCTTAGCCCTGCCTACGGTCTGGGGATTTCCTGCTAGTTCACCATCCGAAGACCAATCAGATTTGGCCCTGCTTAGTTTTTTTCTAGATCAACTAATTGTTTTCATGAGTAGAAAATTGCTAAACCAATCACAGGTGTCTCTCCTCCCAAATGTATGCAGAGCGTATTGTACGTGCAGATCAATTACACAGTTTGCTGAATGAATGGTATTGTGTCCTAATGCGCAAAATAACAGTTTGAACATTACCATGGGGAAAAATGATAAAAGTTACCTAGCCTTATGTTCTATGCAGCGATGTAAAGCAGGAAACAAAGATCAAAGCTATGACCTAATTGAATATTTTGAAGCTAAACTATTGGTTATATTATCCAAAACATAGTCCAAAATGGAGTGATCAGCAGTCTTTGCCAGAATGTTTTTCTACGGTCAAGATTTCATTATTAGACAAAATAATCCTGGAAACAGCAGAACTTTTACTACAGGGGTGGCCAACCTTGGCAACTTTAAGACTTGTGGATGTCAACTCCCAGAATTCCCTAGTCAGCAAAGATTGGACAGCCTTGATTCAGTACATACCGCAAATCTGTGGGTTTCAAAGGCAATTTGCCCAAATGCCTGTGAGTCAGGACCTTCAAAGGAAACCTAATAAACAAAGAGCAAAAAAACTGTCCTTAAAATTGTAATCTTGGAGTTCACAGTTTTTGGCCTTCAGCAGTAGAGATACCATAAGTTGGCTGCAAAAATTAAGAGAGACAGAAGATGGCAACAATAAGATACCAATAATTCTAGCTCTTGGCCACTCTCTAGTCCAGGGGTATCAAACTGCCAGCCCGGTGGGCCGGATGCGTCATGCCGAAACCGCGCCCACCCCATTGCCAGCAATGGAAAAAAGGTTGCGATACGTTGCAACATGTCATGTGACGTTTCGAGTTTGACACCCCTGCTCTAGTCATTCATTATTCAGGATTTTTTCAGAACACAGATATGATCACTTTTACAGGCGAAAACATATTGTGGCTTTAAGGAAAGAAAGTTACTTGCTCTTATGAGCTGGAGCATAGCTGCCATATTGGGTGTGAGAATGCTTGGCCTTTAAAACCTGCATGCATGATCCAGCTAAAGTTTAATAAAGCCATATCAAAGCTTCTTTGCCAATTGTGTGCTCACCATGGGATCAGTAAGGTAGATTCCATTCGGTAATGATGTATTTTTTAAAGATGTATTTATTAAGCTTGTAATAAATTATCCTTTCATTGCCCCAGTAGGTTTGTGCAGATAAAAATACATCATATACTGCAATTTGATATTTTAAAAATTTTGAAAACCCCCCCACCTTTTATTGTGACTTAACTTTTAGTTTAAAAACAAGTAAACTCAAAATCTTAAATATAATCTTCCTGTTATCAGAATTTATCAAGCAAAAAAAAAAAATAGCCCAGCTTAAGGCAACAGTGCCACCAAGTGTTTAGTAAAAGAATACTTTTCACTTTAAAAAGTAATTATACTCTCATTTCATGTACATCTTACATGTATGAAATTAACACTAAATTACAAAGAGGATACAAATATAGCCTCCTTAAGGTAATTTATTTGGGTGGTGTTTGATTCAGAATTTTAAGCACATTTTCATATCTGGGTTTAAGCTGTATCAGACCTAGTTTTTCTTCGTGAGCTCTGGGCAAAGCACTCAGTAGGGTTACTTTGCAAAGTTGGTTTAATGCTCCTTGAACCATCAGCACAACTATGTCCTCTGGCAGGTTGTCAACATGTTAATATGTATGCGCAGAAATTCCATCCACTGGAATCACCACCAATACCTCCCAAAAATGTGACTATGCCTAGAGACCACAGGGGAAAAAAAATCTTCAAAATAGTTGCACTCAACATTGTGGAGAATGTGGCTGCTTCAGTGCTTTAAGGAGAGATGCCTGACTTGTCCCAGTGCATTTTGACAAACATCCTGTCAAACCTTTTTACACTAAACTTTTTTATATTAAAACTTGTCAAGTACACAATTTGTTTCTCATTCTATAAATAAAAACAATTAAAGGCAAGTGTTTATTCTGCTGGCTACTGCTTTTATTCCAGTGGGCTCAAAGTTGTTTATCTAAAACCCTTGATCAGCCAAAATCCTGTGCGCTGAGCTTGCAGCACCAGTATACACTAGTTACTTCTGTAGATAAGCAGTGTCTAATGTCAGCATTGCCTATCTGTATTTCCAGACTGAATGGGTAATTTATTTTAACCTTTGTTGGCATCTTTCTATTTACTCTGTGGAATTTGTGTTTAGCAGAGCATGTCTGTGGGAGTAGAATCTAACTTTGGAGACAGTGCTCTTAGAGTATTTAGAGAAAGAGATGCTTATGGTTCAAAAGTATAAGTAAAGTTTATTAAGGAAATTGTGCTCTGGGTATACATGGCTCCATTTCAGAGCTTTCTGTCCTCCTGATGGTAAAACTGAGAAGGAAGCAGACAATACTTGATTCTTCCTGCAGAAAATAGATTGAAGGGAAGAAACTCAGTCCACCAAGGGACAAAAACCCAGACAATCAATGGTCAATGATAAATGGTCTGTGATAATAGTCAATAAAATGTGCAAAGAATTTAAGCTTCTGAAGCGGAGGATTTCCAATGTTTGTCTAGCTGATAAGACACATCATTGAATGCAAAACAGCTGAAAGTATTACAAAACAATATTATTCAGCAGTCAGGTTTCATAATTAGCTTGGTGTCAATAGATCGGTGGAACTTACTCAGTGTAATGATAGATGTTTTAGGCTTATATATTTCAAACAGTAGCTCCTTAGATCTCATGGGAAAACACATTTGAAATATGGATTTTAAAGGAGAAGCAGTTAATGTCACCTGGATTCTGTTTATTTTGTGACAAATTGAAGTCACTTTTAACTGGGTACTTATTGTGGAACTGGTTCTATAATATGTAATTTAATTTTGTGCATTTTAATAACTTTTCTTCTTACTGCTATTAATTTTTTATTGTTTGCTTTTTCAGTTTTATGCATTTTTTCTTATTGCTTTTTATCATGTGCTTCTGTTGATTATATTGCCTGATTTTATGATTAGAATTTATATTAATCTGCCTACATTTTAAAAGAACATGGGATATTATTTTAATGCTTCATTGTATAAACCTCTAAATCTATTTTCCATGCCCACTTTAGCTTCAGAAAAATGCTTCTCACTGTGGATAAGTCTGACAAATAGCTTTTTTTCCTTTTTGATAATTCAGTATTTGGGGGCTTGTGTAAAATTTTTATTTTGCCTTTTGCATCAATGTGATGTATGCCTTGAGTTATATAAATGTAAGACTGCTCTACAGGTATAAAATGATTTTAGCCTATATGAGTTCTATAATGTATTATTATCCAAACATGAGCCGCGTTCATAAAAACGTTGGCTATGTTATATTTGAACATGAGGAAATTAATTGTAATCTCAGAGACATCCATTTTAGTACTTCAGGTTCCTAGTTGTAAATAGTCCTATGTCAAATTGATTTTTATGGGCTTCCTTGATTATAGTGATTGAGTTCCCAATGAAAAGTGTCCAGATGCTATGACTGTATTTTATAGATGGCATAACTGGAGTGTGCAGCAGTTTAAACACAAGGAATACATTCACCATTATGGGTGCCAAGAAATCAATTTCCCTTAACTGTAATAGAGGAGACATGCCAAAGGTTGCAACTGATTGGGGGTGACCCGTTTCACAGATACCTGAAAAATGCCTCTTATGGAAGATTAAACCTACAACACCTATCTTTTGTTTGTGTCTTGAATTCAGGCTATAGTTATGAATCCTTAGATTGTGGAAAGGTGAACAATGTCACGTTTTCCTCTTGTGAGACTTTAAATTCCTCTTTTGCAATAGAGGATCTCGAGCTGTTATCTGATCAGTCCATGCCGATTGGTAGAATCAGTTTGTAAAAGATACAGCATGTTTTATTTTGAAAAGAGGTATATTGGCACAGCGTGGCAGCTGTGTTGAATGTTTATCTAAAATGAGCCAGGTATGGTCAAGGTTAAAGTACAATAGTATACAATAAGAGTAAAATGGCATCTGGATTATTGAAGGAAGGCATGCTCAAATATAGATTACAGAAAGTGCTCTTAACCATTTTTGTAGGCAGGGTGCCCTAGCATGCATTTTGAACTGGGGACTAGTTTTCCGATGGAATATCTTTCATTAACTGTCATTGTGTTCTAGATGGGAGTTCATGTTGTGGATTCCTCTGTTTCGGGCTTAGGAGGCTGCCCGTACGCGAAAGGTGCCACTGGAAATGTGGCCACAGAAGATGTGATATACATGCTTAATGGCATGGGGATCAATACAGTAAGCTAATTTCCATATATTTGTTCGATGCTGTGTAATTGCTGAAATTGAGGGTCATTGAAATAGCACATGTGTCATGCCTGTTATATTGATTTCAAATAATATAATGCAGGGGTAGGCAACCTTGGCTCTTTTATGACTCGTGGACTTCAACTCCCAGAATTCCTGAGCCAGCATGGCTCAGCTTGGAAACCTCTCCCTTTCCCCTCAGCATGGCCGGCTCAGGAATTCTGGGAGTTGAAGTCCATGAGTCATAAAAGAGCCAAGGTTGCCTACCCCTGATATAATACATTACGTTGTTTTACACCATGTATAAAAAGGCTATACAAGTAGTCCTCGACTTAACAACATTGCATTTAGTGACCAAAGTTACAACAGCACTGAAAAAAGTGACTTATGACCTTTTTTCACACTTACACCTGTTGCAGCATCGCCCTGGTCATATGATCAAAATTCAGACACTTGACAACTGGCTCATATTTATGACGGTTGCAGTGTCCCGGGGTCACGTGATGACCTATCTGACAAGCAAAGACAACGGGGAAGGCAGATTCACTTAACAATCTTGTTATTAACATAATATATCTGCAGTGATTCACTTAATAACTGGCCGTACGGGTCTGGATGGGGAGGAACAGACTCAGACTCAACCCTTCCAAGACCGAGTGGCTGTGGTTGCCGGCGCCCCGGCATAGTCAGCTGATTCCATCGCTGTCTATAGGGGGCGAAACTTTGGCCCCCTCAGAGAGGGCGCGCAACTTGGGTGTCCTCCTGGATCCACGGCTGACACTGGAAGATCATTTGTCG